TAGTCAAGCTGTACACAAAAGGAGCGGTGAGTTGAACGTTTGACTTTGCTTTTTGCATATTTTTTACAATTATCTTCAAGCTGAATTGTGCTCGAGGCTACGTAGGTCATGTAATATTTCCAGGACTCGGTGATTTTTGCGCGGTTGAAGCCTGATTCGCAAAAGGCCGTTGATACTTGCCATGAGCATCTTGAAGATTTTGCTTCATATGGTTATCGAACGCTTTGCTTCGCCATGCGGACTATTCCTGATGTTGGTAGTTTTTCATCCTTCTGTTGTGTTGGTTCATAGAACGTGATTTAGGATGAGTATGAAGCGTGGGCCAAAGACTATCATGCGGCTGGAATCTTGATTGAGGGAAGACAGAAGGCACAGGCTGAGGTTGCGGAGAGGATTGAGAAGGATATGGAATTGATTGGGGCAACGGCTATTGAAGATAAATTACAAGAGGTTTGGTTTTCAATTAGTTGCTAATGTTAGTGTGTAGTGCAAGTGCTGTTTACAGTATGTTCCTGAGACAGTGCAAGCTTTGATGGCCGCTGATATGCGTGTGTGGATGTTGACTGGGGACAAACGCGAGACTGCCATCAATATAGGTAAATTATTATTCTTCGACATTTACATTCTTGTTCTATGCGTTGCTTTGTATAAAAGACAGTCTGGTGAGTATTTGACCTTGGATTTTACATCATTTTTGGAAATTTTGACACTTGAGATATTAGTCACGGGGTCTTTGTGGATCTTTCCTACTAAGGCAGTCTTCCGTTTCTGTCTTGAGAATGTAGTATTCTCCAATTTTTCGATCAAATGTTTTTCTAAATAGTAAAATTTTTCATTTTAGCAGGTCTGGCTAATGTTTTAACGCGAGTTTAGCGAGTATCACATAACTTCACCTGACTTCTTTTTCCTAGTTGTTCTGTAATCTTGCTTAGATTTAATCTCTTTTTCGTCAAGTTCTATTCTCCGATTATTTTCTTACTCAATATGCTCATCCGTTGTTCTTTTAGCTCATTCTTGCGCTCTTTGCCAACCTGGTATGGAACTGCTGACTGTGGACAAAGAAACATATGAGGAAACTTGCACTAAACTAGCACAATTGGCCGAAAGATCGAGGCAGCTTGAAGCGGATAAAAAGTGCGTGCGTTTCAATACATATTGCTGCTTCCTGAATATTGTGATCCAGGCAGTTTGCATTGGTCATCGATGGGAAATCGCTCGTTCATGCCTTGGTGGGTGATTGCCGAGAGCCATTCAGTGAACTTGCCATGAGATGTCATGCTGTCGTGTGCTGTCGTATGAGTCCGATGCAAAAGGCGGAGGTAAAAGACGTTTTTATTATCTGGTTTCCAAAAAAAGTCATCATTGGCATGCAGGTGGTGGAAATGGTGCGAAGCATAGGCAATCATGTTGTGATGGCCGTTGGAGATGGAGCAAACGATGTAGCTATGATTCAGGTCTGTAGAGATGTTTATTCCGCTTGATTTTTGTCAGCTATGGCAAGTGATTTGTTTAGGCTGCAAATGTTGGTATTGGAATTTCGGGAGAAGAGGGATTACAGGCTGCTTCAGCATCTGATTATGCTATCCCGCGTTTCCATTTTCTGAGAAGATTGCT